CTCTCTCTCTCTCTCTCTCTCTCTCTCTCTCTCTCTCTGTGTGTGTCTTTCTGGTCAAATTTTAAAAAATAAATGAATGAATAAATAAAATAAATAATTGTTTTAAAAAAATCAGACTTTTTCTTTAGTTGCTAATGGTAAAATGGGGTAATTTTTCTTTTGATAACCTTCCAAAAAAGAACAATTAGTAACAAAGCACTGAGGGCCAGCATGTGGCATGGTGGTTGGGGTGCTGGACTTCCAAGTGGCTGACTGCGTTATGAGTCTCCAACATGGCAGCTTGCCCTCTCTATCTGTCTTTTCTCTCTGGTCACATCAAAGAATAATATTATAATGTTTAAAAATAAGTACTGTGTTTAATACAATAAACATACCTGTCTTTGACAGTATGATTCTTTGAGTTTCTTGAGGTGTGTTGTCATTTTCACTTTGAAGTGAATCTCACTGCTATCCTAAGGAGATAAAAATATTAACCCCTTTTATATAAACCATTTGCTTTGCTTAAATCAAATTACTTAATTACATACAGAAAAAACAGAAACATAAACCTTGCCACCAATATTTTTCACCAAAATATTCTTTTTAGTAAGCCAGCCGCGACCTGGAGGTTACAGCTGGATCTCACAAGGCTGACTGACCACACAATTCAAGCCCCAGACCTGGTAGGCTGACAAGCATGCAAGGCTCATGTGCGTGAGTACCCAAAAAAATCCTGAAAAGGAGGGAGAAATGGAGAAGAGATTGCAGCAAGACCATGCCTCATAGGGGAGGGGATGTGCCTCTCTCTCCCCGGCCCCCAGGGAGTGCATGTGCCTTTGGAAAAAAATTTTAAAACGTGTTATTTTTAGCATTACTAGCAGTTTTGTTTTGTTTGTTTTTTAGGTTTTTGCCATAGAGCACATGGGCTCACCAGAGAGAGACGGTGAGAGGAAAAGTGAGAAACCATCCCCTAGAGGGATGGCCACATGGCAATCCCTTCTCCATTCTGGTACGCACATGTACTCTACATGATCTTCAAGTCGCCAGATTCAGGACTGAACCACGGTCAGCCATGTGGGAGTCCAGTGCCTTAACTGTCATACCACCTGCTGATCCCATTAACAGTTTTTATTTAACTTTATTAATCATCATTATTATTATTTGTTTTAATTTGACCAGAGAAAGTGAAAATGAGATAAAGAGAGAAAGCAAGCTGCCAGGTCCAGGACTCGAACCACAGTCAGTCATGTGGAAGTTTAACATCTTTAGCCACCACGTCACCCGCTGCCACCTCACACACACTAATCATCCTCAGTTGCTTTCTATGTATTAGAAAGAAATTTAATAAAACAAAGATAATTTGTCTTGGATGTTAAAATTATCAGCATAACCATGCATGTCAGAGAACACAATTCCAGCAGGGTCCATGGTCTGGTGATTATGGGAGGCAGATCTCATATGGCTGCTCAAATCCAGTCCACTGCAGCTTGAAAAATGTCAGTCATGGGCCAGCAGGAGGCATGGTGGTTAAAGGTGCTGGACTCCCACATGGCCGACCATGGTTCAAGTCCTGGACCTGGCGGCTTGCTTTCTCACTCTCCCCGTCTCTCTTTCTCTGTCTCTCTCTGGTTGAACTGGAAAATAATGAAGTTAAATTAAAAAAATAATAATTCTTAAAAAAAAAAAAATCAGTCACATGGGCATGCATGGCCAAAATCCTAACAGGATCAAGAAATGAAGACAGGACTGTAGGGTGACCATGTCCCACTTTGGGGGTGGGGGACTTTCTGTCTCTATGTCTCTGGCTAGAACATGTGCCCTGAAAAAATTTTTAAAAATAATAATGCTGCATTCCTTAATTACTGCATGTCCATTCTATTGTGAAAATTAAAAATAAACTATTACTAACTCCCAAAAAGCAACTAGAAATAAAGGTACCCACCAAAACTTTCACAAAGGTAGTCAAACCTAGGAGAGAGGCATATATCACAGAACAGACTGAAAACCTTATTCCTAGCCTAGCCAGTAGCAGGGTGGTGAAGGCAGATGGCTTTCATATGATCAACTGTGCAGTTCAAGTCCCAGATCCGGTGGGCTGAAAAACATACCAAGCACATGTGCGTACGTGCCTAAAATCCTGAGAGGAGAATGGAGAAAGGACTGTGACATGGCTATCCCCTGAGGGATGCTTTCTCTCTACCCCTCATCCCCACAATCACACACACCCTACAGCAAATTGTTTTTAAAAAAACTTATTCCTAGGGAGCAGGAGTTAGCATAATGGCTATGTCGCTGGGTTCCCATGTAGTCAACCACAGTTCAAGTCCCAGACTCAGTGGCTAAAACTCACGCCAGGTGCATGTGCGTGCGTGCCCAAGATCCCTAGAGGAGAATGGAGGAGAAGGGATTGCAGCGTGGCCATCCCCACTGGGAAGTGATTTTTCGCTTTCTGTCTGTCTGTCTGGTGAGCGCACGCGCCCTATAGCAAAAACCTCTAGAAAAAAAAAAAACCTTATTCCTGGACCAGCAGGTGCCATGGTGGTTAAGGTGCTGGACTCCAAAGTGGCTGACCACAGTTCGAGTCCCAGACTTGGTGACTTGCTTTCTCATTACCTCCTTGTTCGAATTTTAAAAAATAATAGTGGGGGGGGACCAGCAGTTCGCGTAATGGCTATGTCGCTGGACTACCATGTAGTTGACCGCGATTCGCGTCCCAGACCCGGTGGCTTAGAACTCACGCCAGGCGCGTGTGCGTGCGTGCCCAAGATCCCGAGAGCAGAATGGAGGAGAAGGGATTGTGGCGTGACCATACCCCCTGGGGGGTGATTTCTCACTTTCTGTCTCTATGTCTCTTGCTGTCTGTCTGGCGAGCGCATGCGCCCTATAGTGAAAACCTCTCAAAAAAAAAAAAAATTAAAAAATAATAGTGGGACAGCAGGGAGTGTGGTATTAAGGTGCTGGAATTCCCACATGGCTGATCATGGTTGAAGACCCAGACCTGGCAGCTTGCTTTCTTGATCTCCCTTGCTCCCTTACTCTCTTTCTCTGGCAAAACTCATTTAAAAAATTTTAAATAATAATCATTAAAAAAATAATGACAATGATGAACAAAATTAAACAATTCCTTATTTTTGGAGAGATTTTTGCTACTGGTTGCGTGTGCTCACCAGAGAGGCAGAAAAAGATAGAAGGAGGGAGAAAATGAGAAATAACCCCTGGGGAGGATGGTCATGCAGCAATCCTTTCTCCCTCCATTCTCCTCTCGGGATTTTGGGCACATACGCACATGCACTGGCTTGAGTTTTAGGGCATCGGGTTTGGAATTTGACTAAGTGGGAGACAAGGGACGTAACCATTATACCATTTACTGGTCCCCAAAATTAAGTAATTCTTTAACCAAAAAAAAAAAAAGGAAAAAATCTCCTGCCACAAAATGTCAGCCTGCCAATCTGGTTTCTCTCATTGAATCAAATGAACAAAAATCTCAGTAAGTCAAACTGATTTGTGGGACATACATATTCTTCAACCCAGATTTTCCAGCAGACTCTCAACATCAGAAAAAATATTGGCACTTGCATACTGCAAAATTTCAAAGCCAGGGGCCAGCAGGTGGTAGGTGCTGGACACTCCAACATGGTCAACCATGGTTCGAGTCCTAGACCTGGTGGCTTGCTTTCTCACTTTCCCTCTCTCTCTCTGGTCAAATTAAAATGAATGAATAAATAAATAAAATTAAAAATAAATAATTCTTTTAAAAAAATTTCAGGGGCCAGCAGGTAAGCTTGATAGTTGGGGATGCTGGACTCTCACATGACCAACCATGGTTCGAGTCCCGGACCTAGAGATTTGCTTTCTCACTTTGTCTCTCTCTCTTTCTCTCTCTCTCACTCTGTCTTTCTCTTGTCAAACTGAAATAAAGGTATATAAAATAATTCTTTTCAAAGCCAGTTCTACAGGTACATAGCACTTTCACAAACATATGTTAGCCAAAGTTTGCAATTTTTTTAAAAGAATTATTTTATTTTTCTTTGTTTCTTTCTTCATTCATTTAGTCATTCATTTTGACCAGAGAGCAACAGAGAGAGATAGAGAAAGTGAGAAAGCAAGCCACCCATGGTTGATCATGTGGAATTCCAATACCTTAACCACCATGCCACCTGCTGCAATATTTTTGTTCAAGACATTATAAAGAAATAATTCTCTCCCCATGGAAAATTTCATGAACAAACTTTTTTTTTAAGAATTATTTAACTGGGGACTGGCAGTTGGCATAACAACTATGTCACTGGACTCCCATGTAGTCAACCACGGTTCAAGTCCCAGACCCGCTGGCTTAAATTCACACCGAGCGTGTGTGCATGCATGCCCAAGATCCCAAGAGGAGAATGGAAAAGAAGGGATTGCGGCGTGGCCATCCCCCCTGGGGGGTGATTTCTCACTTTCTGTCTCTCTGGCGCGTGCACACGTCCTACAGCAAAAACCTCTTTAAAAAAAGAATTATTTTATTGAACTCTATTATTTATTTTATTTGACTAGAGAGGAACAGAGTGAGATAGAAAGTGAGAAAGCAAGCTGTCAGGTAAGAACTCAAACCGCAATCAACCATGTGGGAGTCCAGAGCCCTTAACCATCATGCCACCTGCTGGCCCCAAACAAATAATACAGCATATCCCACACCCTACACTAAAATCACCTTTAGATGAATTACAGCTAACATTAAAATTGGGTGGTCAGGCTAGCTAGCTCCATGGCCTGATGGTTAAGGCAGCCAGATGCCACATTAATGACTTCATAGTTCAAGTCCTAGACCGAGAAGCATCAGATACACTCCGAGCACATGTGCATGTGTGCCCAAAATCCCAAAAGGAGGGAGATAAGGAAAAGGGACTACAGCCTGACCATTTCCAGTGGGAGTTGCTTTCTCTTCTCCACTTCTCTCTGTTGAATGCTTGTACCTCCAGGTACAAAAATAAATAAATAAAATTGGGTATTTACGCTACAATCCTCCACACCGGCCCTGTGGCCAGCTACAGTCTCTGGCATGCAAATACAGAGACTTCCAGTATGGCCTCCAACAACACAGAACAGGGCCTTTACTGCCTACACCACAGTAACTAAGCCTGCTGAAATTGATTTTTGACAAAGACGCCTAAACAGTTCAATGAGAAAAGGATTATCATTTTTTCTTTTTGGAGAGGTTTTTGCTATAGGGCACGTACGTTCACCAGAAAGACAGAGAGAGACAGAGAAACGGAAAGTGAGAAGTCACCCCCCAGAGGGGATGGCCACGCCGCAATTCCTTGTCCTCCATTCTCCTCTCGGGATCTTGGGCACACACGCACACGTGCCTGGCGTGGGTTTAAGCCACTGGATCCAGGACTCGAACCGCGGTCGCCTACATGGGAGTTCAGCAACATAGCCATTACGCTAACTGCTGGTCCTGAAAAGGATTATCTTTAAAACTAATGGTCTG